CTGCTTGTATTTAAAAGTGTTGTTTATTGCTGCTCCGTAACCAAACACAGCACAAAATATTAATAAAAACAAAAAAATAGTTTATGAATGTTTTTGATTTATACATGAGAGATAATTTTACAATAAAAATAAATGACAGAACAAATATAAGAAAAAAATAAAAGTAATTAAATAATTAATAAAATAGTATTTGTCTAACGTTAATTTAAGCTATATATTAACTAAGAATTTAATGAACTGTTGTTATTATCTGCGTTCATACATAGATAATCATTTGAATAATTTGAAAGAATTCGTCTAACATATATATCATTTGTTTACATTGCACGGAAAGCCACATTCAACTCTCACCACTACAGCGTGAAAAATGCATCGGTCCGCTTGCGAGCCGTGCGTGCACCGCTCCTATTATGCACACGTCTCCATTGGAAATAATGAACTTGTGTGTGGAGAAGACGCAATATGTGAATGGCCCTCTGCTGTAGTTAATCCAGTGTACGTGTGTATTAGCCTCGCTATAAGCTCGGAACTTTACACTAGCACACAGTTGGCATAACTTTGTTTAATTGCAGCAGTTTCGTTTCGAGCAACAGAAACGCAGCGTTGAGAAGCTTTTTTGATTAATTGACCGTAATTAATTTAATTGCGGTTAACAGCTTATCATTGCATCCCTATTAACGATATCAGTGCATTGTACAAAAGGCCTTTTCTACAAACGTATCCAAAAGTTTTCGGCTGCGCACACCACTTGCTTAATGTCACCTGACTCCCTCTCTGTGCAGCCTTCAACTGCAGCTTGTGCTGTATTGAACAGACGCACGTCACTTCCTAACTATATCGACTGTTTTTTCGACTGAACCAAATTTATATTTGATGTCTTGGTCACCCTATTTGGAGCAAATTGCACAAATTGCCTTGAGGGGTGGGTTCGGCCTACGGGCTGCCAACTGAATAGCCCTGTTATATTGCATTGCTTTGCACTCTATAAACACAACCAAGCCTTAACAATACACTCTGGACCACCACTTTAAAATGTATATATTATGGTCCATTATGCAATTATGTTCAGAGGCATGAAAAGTGTGTATAATAATATACACACACAATACATTATATATAATAATAGCATTTTAGCTGTTATTATTTGAGAACACTGACCTACAAAATTAGCTGCAGGCCATTAACTTCTACTTGGAAAAAATACCAAAAAAGAAGGCATGTGCAAGCTTAAACATTAAAAATACAGAATTATCCCAGAGAAGCAATGAAAAACATGAAAAGAAAAACTGTGAAAAAAAGTCTGAATGAAACCAAACAGTTTAAAAGCAGTTTCTAAACCATTTAGATAAAGAAACAGACACAAAAGGAGACATTCTAGGCACGCACTAGTCACATGTAGCCAGTAATGCTGACAGCTTGGCAGAGTGGAATAGATATAAGAGGTGTGTTTGATCCCTGACAGGTGGGCACAGGTTGAACCAGTGGCTGCAGAAAATATGAGCTGCCCTCAGGGCTTGGAGGAGGAGTGGGATGCTGGATGAACTACAGTGGGCTGCTCTGGGCACAACATATAGAAGAACCAGCAACCCGAGGGAGAAGGAGAGGCCTGAAGTCCACAGAAAAACAAAATCACAGAGGTCTGAGGATAAAACCTTGCAGCATCTCAGCAATGTTAAAATACTAATCCACATGTGTGCATCAGCAGGCCTGAATGATTGGTTGTAAGACTGTGTAAGTTTGTGTTTTGGAGTGAGAGAGTCTTCAGTCAGCGCTCTGCAGAGGAGATGCAGTGCGCCTGTACATATAAACACAAATAAACACTCCGCCACACTCAGGAAAGCTGATTTTCTCAAGACCTCATATCTACCCCGAAAAATTAATCCACAGCTTAATGCCTGGTATGGCTAGTCTGGGGTGCAACGTGCGGTGATGTGATAGGGGACCAAAAGAGTTTACACACATGCACGTGCACACGCGCACACACACACACTCACACACACAAACACACATGAGAATGTCTCTACTGCAATGGTTCTCCAACTGGGTGAAACAATTTGATTTTATAGAAAGCAGAAAAAAAGCTAAAAAGTTACTTAAAAAAATATATAATCTATCTAAAAAAAAATTAAAAAAATAAATAAATATATAGAATAAAATAAAATAAAATAAAACAAATTAAAAATATATTAAGATATTTACTTAACCAAAAATACAAAACTATTCCTTTAACAATAAACAGATATTGTTATAAAATATAACAAACAAACATAAACATAACAAACAACCAACCAAGCAAACAAACAAACAATTTTTTAAAAAATGTGTTTTTGTTTACCTCTGCCACACCTAACTTATAAAATAAAATAAAATAAAATAAAATAAAATAAAATAAAATAAAATAAAATAAAATAAAATAAAATAAAATAAAATAAAATAAAATAAAATAGGGACAGCACGGTGGTTCAGAGGGTGGAACAATCGCCACACAGCAAGAAGGTCGCCACAAGTCCAAAGACATGCTCTATAATTATTTAATATAATTATATAATTGGTATATAAGTAATTAATTATTAATATAATTAATTAATTGGGTAACCTAATTGGCCGTAGTGTATGTGTATGGATGTTTCCCAGTGATAAGTTGCAGCCCTTCATAAAGAGACTAAGCCGTAAATTAAATTAAATTAAATTAAATTAAATTAAATTAAATTAAATTAAATTAAATTAAATTAAATTAAATTAAATTAAATTTATTCGCCTAACCAAAAATGAAACTGAGTGAATGAAACTACTCACTTAACAATTAACAGATATTGTTATAAAGTATAATTTGATACACAAACAAACAAACAAACAAACAAACAAACAAACAAACAAACAATTTATGACAAATTCATGTGTTTTTATTTTTGGCAATTACTCACTAAACCCTTACTTTCAAGATTAAATTAAATTAAACAGTGGGTTTGTTGGGTGGCGCAGTGGGTAGCACGTTCGCCTCACAGCAAGAAGGTCGCTGGTTTGAGCTAGGTCAGTTGGTGTTTTTGTGTGTTTTACCAGTGTTCACGTGGGTTTCTTCCAGATGCTCCGGTTTCCCCCACAGCTCCAAAGACATGCACTATAGGTGAATTGGGTAAGCTAAAATTGTTCGTAGTGTATATCTGTGAATGAGTGTGTATGAGTGTTTTCCAGTGATGGGATTGGCAGATTTTTTTTGTCTACATATACATATATATATATATATATATATATATATATATATATATATATATATATATATATATATATATATATATACAAAAAATCTGTTTTTCTTTCCACCTGTCTTAAACTGAAATAACACCTCTCTTGCTCATTTCTTATTCACTATTTGCATAAATTTTCTCTAATGTTTGACATCAATCCAATTGAAATCACAATGTGGTTATAAAATAATAGATTAAATATGTCTATAAATGCTTCAATTTACACAAACTGTTTCCATGTATAAGGAAGCTATGTTTTCACCCACGGTGACGCCCGCTGTTTTTAATTTAAAAGTGCATTTTCGCAATAAAGATCACTATAATTATCACTGATGATAATGTAATCTATTATGAGCATAATACGAGATAAAAGAAACACATTTCTTGTTAAGTTTTAGTGACTTGAGTGCTATTGAGAGGGCCGTGAGGGAACATAAAAAAGAAGAAAAAATAAAGAAGAAAAAAAGCAGCTCAACTGCTTTTGAAGCTGAACTAATACTAAAGTCAGAATCATGGACTGATGTGAACTGTGGTGGAAAAGCTGGTTTAGAACAAAATATGCACACACTCAAACTGAAACGCAATAGGAGAGGATAGAAATAACAGACTTTGTATTAAGGCTCCAGACTTCAAGTTGTGAGTGTTAGAAGCGCAGGTCACTGGTCAAAGTGACATTTTATGAAATCCCTACACGTGAACAAAAATACAGGTTTAATGAGGCCAAAAACAATGGTGCATGGTATAAGGCATGTTTGAATCCACTTCTACTTTATTTAAGGATAGGAAAAACGTCACTAACATGCTCTTTAAAAAACAAAAAAATAAAAAATAAAAAATTGCACCATTGACTTTAGACCTGCTTTTAGTTGGCCAATGGCAAGGTTTATTTCAGTAGCTTCAAAATAGCAATGCACCAACAATGCACCTTAACACACTTCCTTTTCAATCCAGCGTGGCCATGGGCGCACAACTGAAGGCAAATGTATTTTCTTTTTAAACAACATGGCACAGGATATCAAAATGATACCTGCACTAGGCTGAAAAAAACTTGCGTCACACCTCATGCCATAATGCACCGGGTTTAGGATAGGACCCAATGTCTTAATGCAGCGGATATGAGTTAGATAATGAAACAAAATGACAGATCAAAAACTAAAGCAAATTAGAGATTGAACAGTGAGGAATATCAAAATAAAAAAAAGACCAAAGACTAATAAAAAATGGACTTCAGCCATCATTCCAACATAGGCGCACATGCTCTAACTGAAAGCGGAATACACGCTATACTCGATATACTCTATATAGCAATCTCTCGTGACACAACCTCTCCAATGCGACACCTTGCAAGTCATATGACTCCTATTTATTATAATCTGACAGTAACAGAGGAACGCCGCCAAATGCATGTGAAGTAAGAGTAATCATTTTTCTCTAACAATTTACTTGAGTAAGAGTAAATGTATCTATTTTAAAATCTACTCAAAAAGTACATGTTAACCAACAATTTTACTCAAGTATTTGTAATGAAGTAAATGAAATTCGTTACTACGCACCTCTGAATATAAAACGCAAAAAAAAAAAAACAACACATGCTCTTGCATTTCTTTCCTTAAAAGTAACACATTTAGTTCTGTATTTATGATTGTAATATTACTTTTTTCAAACACAACTTTATATCTATCTGCCAAATCTCTCTTTATTAATTCTGTCAAATAATTAGGACAGTCAAATAGGTGTAAAAGAGATTTCACTCACTGATATGGGTCACTGGGGTCTGGTCCTTGCAGCTCAGGTGGGATAGGAATACGTTTATAGTACATCTCCCAGTCAAAAGCTCCTCTCATGGCATCCCCAGCTTGCGCTTCATACCCAAAGTGATTATGATCAATCACATCTATCATGGGGCATACAATGGTTTTGGGATTTTGGGCGATTTGATCTGTAAAAAAAAAAAAAAAAAAGAAGAAGAGGAAAATTAAAAGTTAGGTAAAGCCAGAAATCTATCGCTTCCGTTTCTCTGTGGAGAAAAGGAAAGAAGAAAAGAAACGGAAGTCTCTGGAGTCTCCCTCCACTCCTGGATCACTTGCTCTCCTTCGCTCTGCTTGGCTGAGTGTGGCGACCCTGTGAAATTTAAAGCCGCCACAGCCGCCCGGCGATTAGAAACAATTACAGCGCTTCAAAGTAGGTTTGCTCCATGGAGGGCCGAGCAGAAAGGACCCTCGGCCCTTAACTCTATCTCTGTCAGTCAGCAGCCGCTAAGCCGTCCCAGATCTGTCAGCCACACTCTCCCTCAACACCACTGCACTACTGGACCATGGAGATCACAGGGAGAACGGAGAACAGACCTGCAACATTGGGCTTAAACACACAGCAACCAATGCATCATGAAGATTTAAACTCAAGAGCACAATCTGAATGGAACTGAGATGCTTTAAACGGAGAGTTCACCCAAAATCGACATTTACCCCACCCTTTACTTGTTTCAAACACAAAAGAAGATATTTTCAAGAATGCTGAAAACCTGTAACCATTGACTTCCATTGTATTAGATTTTTTTTTAGTGGTTAGTGGTTACAGGTTTCAGTCAGGTTTCAATATATCTACTTTTGTTTGGAACTACATAAGGGTGAGTACACAGTGAGTCATTTTTTTAGTGAGCTATCCCTTTAAGATGAAAAGTTTCATACATTTATGAGGTTTTTTCCCCACTATCTTTATTGTAGAAAATAATAATAAAAAAAATATTGGCTCTCTTTTGAACACAAAAGTGGATATTTCATCACTTCATGCATTCTCTGGGCTGCACGATACTGGAAAAATCTGACATTGCGATATATATTGAGATATGAATACACTAACTGAAAAAAGTCTTGTCATCTATTTTTAAGTTTTAGAAACAACATACTGTAAAATAACCTGACTTCTAGTTCTTCTATCATTTTGGCATCAGAAGTGGCATATACGAAAGGCAAAGGTCTCTAGACTATGCTTATTTTACTAAAATGAAATATGATCAGGCCTTATTTTTTTATTATGTCATCAGGACAGTAATGTCTGACTTTGTACAGACAAAAGACTTGTCAATTAACATAAATATGGTACAGTATAGAATTTGGTGTTGCAGTGGAAAAGCATTAATATTGTGTATGACTCCTATTAGCTTGGAGGACTGCATCCATACTTCTCTGTAATGACTCAAATAACTTATTAATGAAGTCATCTGGAATGGCAAAGAAAGCATTCTTGCAGGACTCCCAGAGTTCATCAAGATTCTTCGGATTTATCTTCAATGCCTCCTCCTTCATCTTACCCCAGACATGCTCAATAATGTTCATGTCTGGTGACTGGACTGGTCAATCCTGGAGAATCTAGACCTTCTTTGTTTTCAGGAACTTTGATGTGGAGGCTCGCCATGTCAAAAACTTCTCCACCAATCAGGTTAGCACTTTTGTACACGTGCACGGAGCTGCTGAAGTTACAGTTGACAGCACTTGAAGGCGCTCAAGCACAAAACTGTCAATGCGAGTGCACACTGAAGTAGATGCCAAGAGGCGATATGAACGTGCAGTTGCTTATTGCTCTGGTGAACAATAATCATTTTTTCATTGCTAGAGCTGGAGCTGCTACTTCAACCGACCATAACAACAAGCATTACAACTTTGTCTTCATCTTCTGTGTTACAAGCGGGTGTCAGAAGCTTAAAGTTGTGTAGCGCCATCTAATGTCAAGGAGTGATTTTGCATACTCTTCTGGTTGACGCCAGTTAAAATCGCTTGGGTTTGAATCCAGAAAAACATCTTAAAGTGCTGACAATAAACGCAAACAAAAAGCGTCTGTGTATGACATATTGTGCAGCCCTACTAGTGTCTTTGTTGTTTGATAGAGAAATAATTATTTATCTGTCTTTGAAATAAATAAATAAATGAATGAGTAAATGACAGTTTTCATTCATAAAGTTTAAAATAATTTCGATTTCTAGTTTTATGCTGTTCTTCTGAACTTTCTATTGATAGAAGGATCCAGATTGATGATAATGAAGGACACACAAACAACACAACATACAATTGATTTCTATTTGTCTTTTTAAGTGCTCTTTTTACTGCATGTTTAATCAAATAAATGCTTAGTGAGCACACTTTTTATTATTATTTAAACACATTTAGCTGAACCCAAAATGTGAACCATTGGTTTGTATGAATAATATTTTTTTCCCTCTAAAATGAATGAATATCAAATTGGATGGAAATAACATTGATGGATGCCATTTTCAACCCCCTTTTCTAGCTAATGGGAAATGTGACAAATTATATCTTTTAAAGCATAAAGTCATATTTTTACATATTTAGAACAATTTGACAAAATTACACAGCTCGGGTGGAAACCAGTGTGCTAAAAAACAAAGAATATTTAACTCGATTTTCCATTTTCACAAATCAAGTCTTGTGCTGCATCTCAAGCTCTTCACTGACACTGTAATCTTATAAAAGAGTACACTACGTTCTCACGAAGCTTGAGGGAGAAAGTGCCATAACTTCTTGAAAAATTGATATTTTACATTTATTCTACATTAAATATTGAAACTGGGTTTATTTCACTATTTGTTTAGATTATAAAAATTGTAATACATGAAACCTCTCCGCCTGAGCATTTTTCAAGTTGCCAGATAGCTTTTGGTAAGGTTAGACATTTTTGTTGAATGTTTGGTGATTGCGATAGTTTACATATTCTCAGATTATGGATGGTTTAAACTGCTTCTTTCACTTGTTGTGAAACTTGGATCTGGCGAACATGTATATTTTATTTTGTGTATTAGAATGAAAACATAGAGTTGTGGGTCTAAAAAGTCAATGAAATGGAAGTGTTGTGCCAATTAGGTCTAAAAAAGTTGATTGTAACAAATGAAAAGTTTCACACATTTATGGGTGTTTTTTTCACTACCTTTATTGTAGAAAATATTGTAGATTAAAACTTATCTGTTTTCTCAGTGTTGGGTTGTAGCTGGAAGGGCATCTGCTGTGTAAAACATATGCTGGATAAGTTGGTGGTTCATTCCGCTGTGGCAACCCCAGATTATTAAGGGAATGAGCCGAAAAGAAAATGAATGAAAGAATGAATGAATGAAAAGGCATCTGTATTTGCTTTTATTGCACTTTTGAACACAAATGTGGGAATGTTTACTCTTTATTTTGATGATTTTGATACATGTTCTCAGATTATGCACCTATGATCGATTTCGATTGCTGCTTTCACTTGTTGTTGGATCTGGAGAACCTGTATATTTTATTTGTGTAATGGAATGAAAACATGGAGCTGCACGAAATTATATCAACAACATGGAAACGTGCTGATTAGGTCTAAAAAAAGGAAGTTAATTGTAATAAATTGAAAGTTTAATATATTTATGGGTGCTTTTTCCACTACCTTTACTGTAGAAAATATTGTTTTTTTTATACTTTGCTGACTAATTGACTGATTTTATAATAGATTTTCTTAAAATGTATGACATTATTTATTTTTTTTCAATTCTTGTATTATGCAGTGCACATAAAATACACAAAAACTTCAACAATTATTATAATTTTTTTGTATCTCAAGAATTATTGGACTCACAAAATCCTAGAGGGAATGACAAATGTTTTGTCCAATAATGAGTATTCAGCTAAAACATTAATTCTGATTCTGATTTTAAGGGTTAAAACAGCAAATAATATTATACATTCAGAAAAATGTAATTCATTTATTATTATTATTATTATTATTATTATTATTATTATTATTATTTGTTTACTTATTTATTTATTTTATTATTATTCTTATAATAAATTAATATTATTTTTTATTAATACATTTATTTTTATATTAACTATTTGTTAATGATTTTATTAATAATGATAACAACAACAACAACAACAACAACAACAAATAAATTTTAAATTATTTTAAATTCAATCTGTTTCTTTATGCAAGAAAAAAACTACACTAACACTCTCTCCTCAACATTTATTTATGTATTGTATTGTTTATTTTTATAATTTAAGTCTAATAAAAGAATTAAAGCAATGAAAATATATAAAAGGTATTTACTATCTGAAGTACACTCAAAAAATATCTGTTATCTGTTATTTTGTGATTCACAAGTGTTTTCCGTTTATTTACTGTTGTAAATTGCATTATGGGACCCCAATCTTTGCTCTGTTGACTTTTAATGTTGAAAATTCAACTCTACATTTAACAAAGTGACTTTTATTGACATTTTTGTAGTTTGAAATAATCTACAATGTATAAAAAATAACATATAAAAAAATTTCAGTAAATTAACAGAAAATGTTCTGGCAGTTTATTACAAGGTTTTTGTACCTTTATCTACAACAAGAAAGCAGAAAATGTATCACTTTAAACTACTAAAAATGTTAATAAAAGTCACTTTTTGATCTCTGAAGGTTAAAAGCTGTTGAAAGATTATTAAAGAAAGATCAAGCTCTCATAAAGCAATTCAAATACATAAATAGTAAAAAAAAAGTATCACAAAATATGGAAAACTGTTAATTTATTATATATTTTTACGGTGTAGTAACCCTTTAAATGTGATCGACAAAACCTAAAAAGATTTTGGGAAGACATCTGGGTTTAAAGAAACAACTTCATATTTGTTTTTACTCCCTGAATAGGCTACAACTCCATCAACAACTGTCCAGATGATGTGACGGCACACATGAACCACTTCTCCTCTTTACTGATATCTAAGTGTGGTCAGAGTAATTTAGCCAGGTCTGGCCATGCTCAATCATTTTTAGTTTAAGTGGTCAACAAGTCAAGAGCTGCAGGATTAGATTCCAGTGGTTTTATTCCAATTAGATTTTTTATGGTTGCTTTTTCTTTTGCTGAATAATAAATGAAAGCTATTTTGGTTGTATACCAGTAGCTCAACCACAACTGAGC